CTCGGTTTCTGATCTTTGCCTGTTTTCCTGGATTTTTCCCTCTCGTCTCGCCCCTGTGATTCTGTCTGCCGATCAGTGACCTACGCTAGCCCTAGGACTATTCTTGTGTTTTGCCCGCCATATACCTGTTTGCCTTTGTTCGACCCTGCCTGTTACGACCACGTCTCTTAAAATAAAGCTTGCAGATGGATCCACACGTCTCACGTCTCGTCAGCCCCGTGACACTTTGTACTCCACACCTAAAGACTTGCTTTGATCAAAATGTTCGGCTACTAGACAAGTTTTCCAAATGTCCTTTGGTCTCTCATTATGTACAAGTCAATTCCTACGTGAGCAAATAAAAAAAGAGTTTCAAAATGAAAATAAATAAATCTTACAGTACAAGCAGGTTTAAACGTTGCCTGTAAAACAATCTGCATTCACTTTCATTTTGTCAGCAAGGTTGCCAAACCTGTTTGGAGAGGGGGAAAAAAACACCTCATCATGTAGTTTTTAAAGTTTGGTCGTAAGAGTGACGAGACTGATTTGATCAAATATTTGGTAACTTATAATAACAATCAATTCTACGTAATTTAAAAGTGTTTTGTTAATGATTATTTACTGAACATTAATATACAATTGTAGATGATTAACTAGATAAAAAAGTTTGTCAAGACAAACTTTAAGTTGGCTTGAGAAAGCCGGACCAGAAACTTTGAAAAAGTTTGAAAAGATTAAAAAGTTTAAGAAGTTTAAAAAGTTTTAAGTTTGATGGTTTTCAGTCTGAAATAGTTTGAAGTTTAAAGTAGTTTTAAAAGCTTAAAGTCTGAAAGTTTTGAAGGCAATACAGTCTGTCAGCATGTTTCTAGCATGATTAGCATGCTACTATCATGATGCTAACATGATTAACAAGTAACTAGCATGTTGCTAACATGATTAGCCAGTTACTAGCATGTTTCTAGCATGATTAGCATGCTACTATCATGTTGCTAGCATGATAAGTAACTAGCATGTCGTTAGCATGATTAGCAAGTTACTAGCATGTTTCTAACATGATTAG